TTGAGGATCTTGTGGTATACGTTTGTATGTCCTCCCATAACCGGTGTTTTTCATTTCAGTAGCTGGCCAAGGAACTTGACTTTAGTGTAGGGAAAAAAGCTATTTGAGCTGTATTAATAATGAAGGGATTTCACTGACAACTGGCGATGAAAAAACAACCTATTACCAAGCAAAACTGCATGATCAGACTTCAATAGGCCCAAGGGCACGAAAATTAGATCATGGAATAGTGGTATACAATTCTCTGGACAGATAAAACTTAGGTCACTGGTGGGAGACATACACAAACCTGTGTGACCTGGAGAGTTGGCAAAGAATGGGAGCCAACTTGCATAGTAGAAAAATATCCAAGAAGGCGGGGATAGATATTTTGAGGCTACTTCCACAGAAATATGCAATGTCCAAACATATTTTGGGAAACGGATTGGGAATTAATTAATTTCCAAAACTACTATATGCATACTGTGCCAGTCATTCACTATTATCTTGAACTATGTCATCAGGAGGGGATTTATTTGCAACTAATACAACATGGCGTACCAGGACGCACTGCTGGAGATACTACAATAGAGTTAAGGAAAAGTGTCACGAACGTGACTTAGCGAGGAAAGGGTTTTCACGTGACGCATAGTTATGAGTCACAGGTACGTTATTGTTTTACACATATGACTCATTCGGGTCATATGATTTGTTATGTGTGGGATTTGTGATGCTTTCACACATGGCTCAAATATAAGTCATGGGATGTACACAGGGCGAGTGTGCCTTGCGAGTGAACCTTGCAAGTATGCCTTGCGGGTAAGCCTTATGCATATGATTTATGTTTCACACATATGACTCGGTCGAGTCATATGATTGGTTTATTGCGTAATGATTGGTTTATGAGTTTTTCGCACATGACCTCGCTATGAGGTAATGGGGTTTGAACATGTGACCATGTTGGTCACATGATTAGTTTGTTATGATTTTGTTTCGCACATGTGACCACTTTAGGTCACATGACTATGGGCGGAAGAACACTATATAAGGAGGCCGATGCGGCTGAGAAAGATAGGTTCTTCACGCTTTGTTCTAAGTACTTTTCCTACTTATTACTTTAAACAAATATAAAACACCTTTACGATCTTTATCTTTACTGCAACATTATTGTTACGCCAAGAAAGGTTCTTCACGAAGACGAGTTAGAGAAAGCTTAAGATAGGCATTCCCGATAGAAGACAAAGGTCTTGTACTATCGGTAATGTAGGCAGGGTCCTAGAGCTATCGTAAGAAAAAGGAAGAGAGAGACAGAAACGAGAAGTATTGTTCCCCGTCGCCAAGAACTAACTATCCAGAGAGGGATCGTTACAAAAAGGGGGATTCAAGTTATCCAGTAGCCCACATTTTTGCCAAATTTAAATCCGATAGAACAGGTTTGGCATATAATGAAAGGTTATTTGGAAGATAACTTTCCAGAAAACATGTCCTACAATCGCTTACTTAATGTGGTAAAGGGAGCCTGGAGTAATAATGGCATACAGCTATCAATGTAAATGGTCTCTTTAAAAAGTACTAGGTAAGCCACTTATTTATTTATCTAACTCTATTTCTTAATTTTATTAATACAAAAATAAGTATATTGATAAAAAAAACTTCACACCTCTGAGGCTCTCCATATGTCACTACACCTATTGCTGTATCTTCATATGGTAATATGGAAGAGAGAGCAAGTGACACTGGGGTTCAGTGGATGCATCAATGAAAAAGACTTGGCAAGCTGTGATTTTATTTAGTATATTCATTGAGTCCCTTAGTTCATTGACCTCTTTCCCATTTTAGAATAGGATTGAGATGGATAAATTAATTTATAGAATTGCTTGGAGCGAAGTTGTTGAGATGGTATTAGGCAGAAACACTCTGTATAGACTTGGAATCAGCTAGGCCAATCGAGATTTGTTTTTGTAGACAGAGATTTGTTCAGGAGTGTTCAAATAGGTACTCATTTCATTTATGACTACTAGAAGTGAAGTAAGAGAAGGTAAAGTATGATTGAATCGTATAAACAATATTATATTTTTTAGGTCTCGTCTCCGTTGCTTGATGATATCTAAAAGCTCGGGAGGCACTTTAATATTTATATTCTAAGTCTGAGTTTTCATGGAATACATCTATCACTCATACAAATTATGTACCTCTTAAACTATAACTCGCAATGTTGGGTATTTTCCTGAAATGCAAATACTAGGAGACCCTGAAAACCATCACATTCTCTTTGGTAATTACTATTCTATCAATTTGGAACTATAATGTTTCCAATAGTAATTACTCGATTTTCGGAGTTATTAGACTTAAGGTCTAGTTCTCAAGTCGAACTTTGTTGATCCCAATTGTCTCATCTATTGACGAAATGATGAGTTTCATTTGTGGGTCATGTCTGCAAGAGTAGTTATAGATGTAATCTTCCTAGGTCACCAACTTTAAACCTATATAACTCCTGATTCAACCAACAGATATCCTCCAAATGACTTCCTACTAATTCGCAGGAAGCTATTCTACCAGATTGGCAAATAATCCCTTGGTCCACAACTTCTGGCTATTTTTTGTAATTGGCTATTGGTTGTTGTTTGGTATTGGTGATAATTCCCTCAACCATGATGCAGTCAGAAACCTAGTTGAAACACTCCATGATGTCTATTGGCTTCTTTGGTAGTGTTCCTTAGAGTTCTGAACTCTTCTAATTATTGTATGATAGCTAAGAATGTATTGGCTCTTCATAGATATTCTCTAACATTCATTATTACATCTTTTTATGAAAATGTCAGGTTACTTACAGCATATACCAAAGATGCTCTATCTTTGAAGCCTAGTAACTCTCTGGGTAGTTGATGGATTTACTCTGTTCTACATCCCAGACCTAGTCAAATGTCCCCTCTTATATATCCCGTGAACAGGATCTAGTCAGACGGACAGCAGCAATGTATACAATATTATTCTGACACCTTCAATTCTGTGGTACTATAGTCACAGGACACAACAAAGATGGATATGTATGATGACATGCATGCTCTGTAAGGGGACCAGAGGGGGATGTTGGAGACCAGAGATTCCAATTCTGAGTAGTGTTACGCTACTTAGGGTGGTTTTAAGGTATCAGATCCTGGTACTCCTAGTAACAGGTGGGAATGTTACTAGAGGAGTAATAGGCAGTATAAGGTGGTGAAGAAGGGCAGAGGTTGATGGAGGAACAGTGGGCACTGGGTTAAATTTTAAAAGCAACAGATTAAGATTTCTATCCAATGATTAACTTGTTTTCTTATAAGGATATTGAAGAGAATTATTTCATTCCTTATTTTAGTAAAATATTGCAGAGAGGATAAGAGAAGCATTTGTTTTATATTTTTCCATATAAATTTACCTTTTCCACTCATATAGTATAAGTCGACTTTATTGTCATTTCTTGGTATGATTTTCACTATTTACCCTACTGCACCCCAAGCCACCCCATACCCAATTCACTCACCATATCCTTGCTAGCTTTTCCACCCTTGCTAGTGGAATATACAAAACTTAGGGGCCATACCTCCGTAAACTCCGAAGAAGAAAGGAGAAGAAGAAAAAGGAAAAGAAAAAGAAAAAGAAAAAAAAAGAGGACAAGCTCTGCTTCTGCAAGTTGGTGAGGGTGAGGAAGGCTTGATTACGTATTCATTTCCTTCAAGCTGTGCGCTTTCCGAAAGTGGGTAATTTCCCTTCCGAACTTTTCCTCCCTTTTTTTATTTCTTCCTCACCCAATGGGGGATTGTCGATGTTGTCGTTTCAATGAGTGGCTGCAAAAGCTGAAAAGCAGGCAAAAAAAAAAAGAAGAAGAAGAAGCAATGAAAAGTGTAGGAAAGGGTAAAAAAAAAAAATTTTTTTTTTTTATATCATAGTTGGGATAAACACCCCCCTTCTGGGTGCTTTTTTCCTTTGTTCCGTTTTTGTTTTGCGTACCGGTACAACTTACTCTACGAGTATATATATTACACGCTCTGCCTTGTACGATACGAGTATGGGGTTTTCTTCCTCTGCCCCAACTTAGACATGCATTACTCGTACAGTAGTCTTCGATTTGCGCTCGACCACCGAGCGGTAGGACGACGACGACAACAGACTTGTTTTTTTAGTCTTCTTCTTTTGAAGATTTCCCATTCATTCATAATAATGTACGAGTAGAGTACTAGTACAGTACTAGTAGACTACAGGGCTGAAAGTTCCCACACACCGGAGAACCAACCGTTGGATGATATGATTTTTGTATGTATGATACCATCATCATCACTGTCATCCATAATATTGTTACTTTGTGTGGGTACTGCCACCTCCATTTTCGACCGAGGGACGGAAAGGTATGAGCACCGGTAGGAAGGATCTTTCTTTGGAAGAAAAAAAGAAAAAAAGAGAAATTTTTTTTTCTTTGTCAAGATACCGGTAACGGTACTCGTACTTCCACGTCCTGGGCCAGATACGGTATCATACTCGTACAGTACGACAACATGTGGTGTGTGGTCTTACGGATAACCGTGAAACTCGTGGAAAGGCGAAATCTGGTGTCAGCTTGGTCTCTCTTACCGGTACCGGTATCATACTACCGGTGCGAGTACTTGTGGTGGTGGTGGGTGAATCCTTATCTGGAAAGTTATTCTTTTTCATTTTCCTTTTTTTTTCTTTTCATTTTTCATTTCTTCTTCTTCCTCATGATAACTTGTACTTTGAGGTAGGTGGTGGGGTGTGTGTGGAGACTTTTTTGTTTTTCCTTTTTCTTCTCTCGGCTTCTGATACGGTACCGTTTGAAAATTCCTTTCTTCTTCTTCTTCTCTCCAAACTTTTTTCCTCTCTCCATCCTTGATAGGCGCATCTCCCCGTCGCTAGAGATGTGGTGTGCGATATCATTAAATTTGGGAATGTTGTTTTTCCCCCTTGCTTGTAAACCCTCTATAATTAATCCAAAACGAGATATCACACACACGCACTTCAAACACATAGAGTACTCGTACAACAATTCATACATACACAAGTAGACTACCGTAATCCCCTTGTCCGGCACAATACCCTACGAGTAGGGTATGATAACCTCCACCACGAGGCAATACAAGGATCCATTTTGGCCCCCCAAGAAGATACTCTCGAGTGGGTTGGCACCCATCATCATCACGCCCCCATTTCCTAACCTGAACTATGATATCTCCATCATGATCATCCCTTCCCCAGAAGGGTGCTCGTACAGTAACCAACAATCCTTGAAGCACCGGTCCACTACCATGGGTTGCCGGGTCCCCCTTTCGACCCGTTTCTTCAAAATCAAAAACGCGGGGAAGTAAAGAAGAAGAAAAAAGCAAGGGGTTGTGGGGAACCAGGGCATGGGACACATAACCGGTAAGATTGCACACACAAATGCTCGTGTATACAGTAATCATCACGTTCGGGTTTAGAGTACAGTACCGTTTTACCGCACTAGCACCACCTTGTGATGGATAGGTTTTGGTTTTTTTTTCCCCCCTCCCAGCGGGTACAGCGGCGCTCCTGTTGGGACGTGGAAAAAGTGAAGTGAGTTGAGGGAGGAATGATAATGATGATAATAATAATAATACTCGAGTCCCTATGCGCGTGTCCCGTGTAGAAATATGGTACTCGAGTATCATACTGTAGGTGTGTGAGTGCATGAGCGGTAACCAGACATAACCCCTGGTGTTGTCACTCGTGAATGGTGGGAGGGACGGGAGAGAAGGGTCGGGTTGGAAGAGGAGGAGGAAGGGAGAAAAGAAAACTGGTGTGTGCGGCATCAAGTTATGTACTGTACAGTACTCACTCGTACACAGTTTACTTCCTACAGTAGCGCCGCCGGTTATGCGGCTTTCCATTGAATGATATACGACTCGAGTAATTACTCGTAGTGAAGGTGAGTTGTAACTCATCATACATTCCGGCCGGCGTCTCCGTCATCCTCTTTTACTCGTACAGAGCGGGCGGAGCTCTTCCACAGTGGAAGCCGTGTGCGTCTCGCTGTCCGATGGGAAAACCGGGAAATGAGAGGAACATGCATAACTGGATCCAAGTGGAGCGAGCGAACGACAAAGCTGTAGACTTATAAACAAATAAAAGTGATGATGGCGAAAGGGAGAGAGAGAGAGAAAGACCAGCCCATCGACAATCACATTTCCCACAAACTTTACCATATCGTGTTGACTGTGCGTTTCACGTATGTATGCACGTACGAGTACGTGTGTGTATGTTAGCGATTTGGACAAAGTTACCTATGATATGACCCCGTCGTTAAAACATCCATCCCTTTCTCCGCCGTTTTTCCTCTCTCGTGTAGTAGTGAATGGAAATCGTCATTGATCTTTTTCTTTCTTCTTTTCCCCCATTGTCGGAACCCGTATGATAGTCAAACCACTCCCCCGGCCCCGCCGGGAAAGGGGGATATACGAGTACGAGTATACGTGCGTGTGTGTGTATGTGTGGGGAAAAAGTGGGGAAAATAATTGGCAGATGGTCATAACTGGTCATTCGAAGGAAAAATGTTTCAAACAAACATGGACTTATGATCCCACCCAACCCCTTCCCCCCCAAATGAGGGGAGGGGGGATTCCTTGGAAAAACCCAATTTTCAGAGGGGGGGGGGGGGAGGCAAGAAAAAAACTTTTCCTCGTGACTTATTGGGCAGGCGGGCGTACTACTTTTGCTTCCTTCTTTTATTATAACTTTGCTTTTTTTTTGAGTATCCCCCCCCCCCTACATACTCGTACTGTACGAGTACATGGAGCGCAGATTTCCTGTTCTTGTGAGCCATGGTTTTGGAAATGATCGGGCAGGTCTTCTTCGCACGGGGTTCTTTTTTTTTAGTTGTCGTACCGAGCGGTGTAAATCCTTCAGTCAGTCAGTCAGTCGGTCACGTACGAGTAAATTTACTGTAAATTTACAGTGCGGAATGTTTTACATCCGCTGATTGCGTAACGGGGAATGGAAGGTGGATGTTTGTCTGCTCTGCACTGTAGTGTAGTGGTACAGAGACCGGCTTGAAGTGAGGGTTCACTCGCTGGCTTGCTCTCTCTCTCCTTCTCTCTTTCTCTCTCTCGAGTCCGGTACGATACCGTAGTCCATTCGGATGGCACATCCGATTGGGTACTGTACTTGTATCGAGGGCGGCTTATGTACCTTGGAAAGGGATTTGTTTTCTTGCATGATACACGTACTGTAACAACAATCTTACGGTATCTGTAAATTTCCTTCTCGCGTGCGCTGGACAGGGCTGAAGATGGTACAAGTAGCAATGGTGGCGTTCCGGCGTCGGGGGGGCGCTTTAATTTGGCGAGAATAACGTACCTATCGTATCATAAATCGATGAGTATTGTACAGTACTCGCGCAGTACGGCACATTATTATATCTCAAGTCGAGCTGAGATATTGGGGGGCTTTTTTTTTTTTTTTTGTAAGAGGGGGAAAAAGTCTTTCTTCAACATTTCTCCGAAATCGAGTGATGATTGGTGAAACTGTCTTGGATCCTTCCCACCTTACTGTACTGTACTTTACAGTAAGGTATGAAACCCGGTGCGGCTCTGCAACCACAGCCAAGACCCCGCCCCAGAAACATCCACGAAAACGTCACCACATCTATGATAACTATACTAGACTTATCCTACCTACGTACGATACATCTTCCAAAACACGATAAGGAATCTAAGTTGATCATTCCAAGATCTTCTCCCCCCCACCACCACCACCACCATTAAGGGTAGGTGAAGAAGAAGAAGAAGAAGAAATCGCAAAAGTCACACACACCCCTCATCACAAAAAAAAAAAAAACTCTCATTTATCATTCCATTCCCCCCCCACCCCCTCCTTCTTCTTCCCCGCATTCCTACAGTAGTATACTCGTACATACCCATATCACCCGCATTGCGTACTGTAGAGACCCCCACAAACAATAACTCTCTGATCAATTGTGACGAACGAACGGACGGACGAAAACCGGCTGGCTCTCCTCCCCATCATCATCATCGGTCGCTGGGATCGTTTCCTTTCTTCTTCTTCTTCTTCTTCTTCTTCTCCATCGAAATCGGCTTTGGTACCGCGATATATATATATATATATTGTATTTTTGAACCGTCTGCTTCTTTGCTATGCATACCTATGATACCCACTCTAGTACTGCACAGTACAGTATTATATGATACAAGTATATATATATATATATATATATATAATATATATGTACGGCACGGGGAAGGGATGGTGATTATGGCCACTCGTTGACTTTTTCATCACATCATGGATTCCCGATTCGGTGCAGGGTTGGAATGGGAGGAATGCGTCGGCCTGAAGATGGTATGCTCGAGTTATCTATCTATCGTACGGTATTGTACGGTATGATATATCGTAATTGTGGGGAATTGTTCGCGGTGGGGATTGCGGGTTGGGTGACCTGGTTGATTGTTGTGATAGACCTGAGCACTTATGTATGATGCGGTACTCGAACGGCCCAGCTGGGATATCCGCTGGAGAATCTGCTGGAGAGAGGGGGGGGGGAAGGCTCTATGGTACTGTAATCGACAACTACGTTGGTCTATGCGGTATGATAGTTATGGCACTTGTGTCCATTCCTCGCCACGCACAGCGGCTCGCATGCGAATATCGAATCTTCTATTTATCGAGAACTTCAAAATGCCATCATACTCGGCCACCCATTGAACCAATCGGGGAAATGGAAGTGGGGGCATCTATCATAGCTAGCTGGGACACCAATCCATCATCTACCGTACCGTATCATACCGGCCAAGAGGGAATATAAAGTTATATAGGGCCCCAGCCAGAACCCACTTGATCGGTCAATCAATCGATCCCACCGATGCGATATTATTATACCACACTACGATGAACCCATCATTGCGTTCGACAGTTGCCAGCTTTTTTTCTTCCCTCCCCGTCACCACAGTTCACAACGTACACTAGGTATTATCACCCGTACGTAACTTCCTAACTCTAGGATACACACCCATGCATGGATACCCAAGAGGATTTCCACATCTTTGTTCAGATAAATTTAAACACCCCTCTCGAATCCCTATTTTATCGTCGTCATTCGCGTCATGTATGATAGGTTGACTGATCTGCCTATCGTATCGTTTCGTCTCGTCTCGTCTCCCGTGCCGTAGTCTACCGTCCGTCCCGCATGGCAGGCGGGTGGGTGAGAAAAAAACAAAATATCAACCAAACAACTTGCATCCCACTCACTTTACTTGACTTGACTCGGTGATTGGGAAGGAGTACTCGAGTATAAGGACCTCCTCCCTTTTTCTATGCTTGCTGAAAGTTGCATCCGTGTGTTTTTTCTTCTTGTAGCTCAGTGTTACGTGCGGGCCAATTGCCCACCGCTCCTGGCCTGTGCTAGTATCATACCATCCATCATTCTAGGTCAGCCTGGACCAGCTCTTCAGTCGCTTCATCACGCATCACGGGCAGATGGATGGGTGATTTGATGCAAGTACTCTAGGTGGATTGGGGGTACAAGAGACATCTCAGCAAAATAACGGTCTGAAAAAGATCTGCTGTCCGGCCTGAAACTTGGGCGGGATTTGAGTGAACCCTGTCGCGCGCGAAACCCATAGTGGTTCTGCGTCACTCGCTTTATTGTCACTCCTACCAGTACAGGGACACGAAGGCTCGACCGACAGCTGCGTCTGGCACCGAGTGGAATAAAAAAATGGGAAAATAAGAATTCGTGAATCCAAAATTTTTTTTTCCGGGAAAACAACACTACGAAAAGTATACATACGCGTGGAGGGGGAAAGGAATAAGTAATCGTACTATTAATGAGAATGTCAAAGCAACAGGAACAGGTATCCCTCCTTACTTGGCACCGCGGACCAATCCCTCAAAGTAGTTCCTAATATCGATCCCTCCCGCTCCCGCTCTTGTGCCACTGGCACCGACTAGCCCTGCTGCAGCGTCTGCTGCCTTATTTTCACCGGCTCTTCGAACCGCAATCCCTTCCACCCCACCATCGAGTCTCATCCAGTTTACCCACCAGCCTTTTGTACTCCGCACACTCCTTTCCCTTTCCAACCTATCACCTGTTGTTTCACTCAATATTCCCAAGATCAGGGCGTGAACATGGAAAGCGTCTGCTCTGGTCCACCCGGCCCCAGCTCCTGGATTGGCTTGCTCCAATGCTGGTTCAGGGATGGGCGGGAGGGTGCAATGAATTGTCCTTGTCTTTGGGTTGTACAAGATATCATAAGGCGGTTTGAGGATTGGGGATAATAAGCCTGGGACCTTGAGCGATAGCTTGGGTTCACCAAGAGGAGAAATTTTCAACATTGGTTCATGGAGCGGTGCGAGTTGGTGATGTATGGTTCGATAAAATGACGGCGAGGTTAGGTGTCGGGTGGAATTTTCAAATATGAAAGCGAGAATAAAAGGATGGTTCTGTGCAAAATGTACTTAGTAAGGGGAATGAGGGGTTATGAAGGGTGAATGGGAAGTACTGCGTATATGACAATTCTGAGCTCTTCTAAATTGGCTTGCTTAATAGTAGGTGTCTCGCTACTTCTTCTTCCGAGACCTTCATCTAGTGTAATATCGCCTCGAGCTTGCTCATCCGATTCATTTTTTGTGGTACTTCTTGTGGCCCAAATAGTTCTGCTTGTAATTCTCCCCCCAGATTCGGTTTCGTCCAAATCCTCCACATCCAAGTCACCCATAAAGCCAATTACAAACCTAGCTCTTTTGGGGTTTTCATCCTTCATCCTACCAGCAGGCCCGTCAGTCTCCTCAATTGCCTGGGGATCCACAACTTTCATTGGTGCAGGTGAAGGTGTGCGGGACGAGGGCGCAGGGGATGAGGTGATAGAATCTGTGCCTGTGGTCCGAGTACCCCTCCCTGGCGTTGAGCCCCCGCTCCATCCAAATGTAAGCAGGTTCAATATTTTTGCATTGGTATTACTGGGGCTTTGCTTCTTGTTGGATGACTCTTGTGCTATCTGGGAGGAGGAGGTCCCGTGTGCCCCTCTGGGGGGTCCTCCACCTTCGACAGACTTATCTATGGCCACGCTGGCGACTAGCTCTGAGGGGGATGACGCGGCTTCCGGCTCTGCTCTTGCAGGTCTGGCAATTAAAATGTTTGTTCGTGGGGGACTCCCCTCAGAACCATCCTTGGCTGGTGCCTTGGGCCTGTTACGAGTTTTTCTTTGCCGGGAACTCGCACTTGGTCGAGAAAAGGTTTCTTCGCCATATTGATAGAGCTCGCTCAAGTAAATAGCTACATCCCTTATGGACCGGCAGTCCAGCGCCCCCGTTCCAGGGAGGATACATCCATCCTGTGGCATAATGAAAGCTGGTCCTTGCTGGCCTTTTTTCGTAGCAGTCGATGGAGTTGAAGGCTTGTTTGAGCTGTTCCAAAACCAAAAACCGCTGCGGCTTTCACTCCCTTTGGTGTTTTTGGCTTCTTCCGGGGGCTCACCAAACCTGGAGGCTACCAGGTCCACTAATCCTTTCGATTTCCCTTTATCGGCCCACCCCTTTAGGAATTCTCTTTCCTCATTTCCCATTTCTTTACCTGGCCTTCCACCAGCCATCTTTATACCTCCACCACCACCCAATATTCCCGTTGCCGGTGATGCATGAAGCATCACCTCCCATCTCCCCCATGCCCAACGTAGCCAGAACTTCTCGAGTCGTTTGCAGAACGCTGATCTCCCGAGGCGAGCAAGATTTGAGGCAAGGGAGCCATAATGAAAGTGGAATTGGTCGTAAGCTTGCCGAATGTCAGCCAGCAATAGTGCTGGAGGAGAAACTTCCTGAGAAGTATACTTGATTGTAGGGGGGTATGTTGAGGGGTTATGGATGACTGTGAGATCGATTTGCTATGGGTTGGTTAGATCGGGTGATCATGCATAATAGAAGAGTTGGGAGGAGGTTGCATGGGGGAGGAACGCGAAGAGAAAAGACCAACAGCTAGAATCCACCAACCAGGTTCCTCAATCTCCAGAGTAACTATCCTAGACTTCTCTGTCTCGACAGAGCTGAGATTTTGAGTCTTAGAAAAGCCGCTGGCACGTGTAGGAGCTCGAACATTAGCTGTGAGTAGAGCTCAACGATGGAAGTAGAGACCTAAGCTTACCGGGCAAACTCCACGACGCCCTGAGCTAGTCCTATCTGACGCAATCTGTCATTGGCTGTTACGGCATTTCCACGTCGGGAAGTATAGAATACGATCTGATCATGGACAGTTTCGTCTGTCGGGCCAAGCGATGGGTTGTAGATGGCAAGCGAAGATAGGGTAGCGGGGGAGACGGTTGGAACGAGCGATGAGGGCGGAGGAAGAGGAGCTGGGAGAGGATTCGCAGGATTCGAGGAGGTCATGGGAGAGGATGGCACATTTGGAGGTTTAGAGAAGGTTTAAGGTGAACACCCCCGAATGAGGAAGACGGGGTTCGAGCTTTGGTGCGGTTATCGAGGCGATAATGATAATGGAGTTGATAATATTATCATAATCATACCCGGCTTGTGATTCGATTGTGGTGTTGCACAAAAGGGTTGGTACCTGGCTGCCGGCTGTTCCTGTAGGTTAGAACCACACATTAAAAAGATGTTAGGGGCGCCACAGTAACATGCTTTTGCCCCGGGATGTGGCTGAGGGCTCTTATCGGCGTTTATCCTTTGTCCCACCATCATAATAATTTACTTCAAACTCTAGTGCCATCGTTTCGACATCACTTAATATTATATCTTGGGGGCTGAAAAAGAGGGTCCTGCACTATTGAAATAAATCTGAGCCTCCAGTGCCGCCATATATAATTCTCAGTCTATTCCCCATCTTCGGCACGATGCGGTCTCTTCTTGGGTCACTGGTCTCTTTCGGCGGACACACTCGTCGTCGTGCCCGTCTACATTTGTTCTCTACTGGAACCTTTCCTATTCTTCCCCGATGGACTTTGCCCGCTCATTGCCGCTCTGTTTCTACAGAGTCTCCCACACAAGAACCGCTGAGAATTCTCTTCTGTGGGTCAGACCATTTCAGCGCAACCTCACTCAAGGCCCTTCACAATGAGCACCTTTCAAATGGCGACCTTATCCGCTCAATAGATGTTCTTACTCTCGGAGACAAAAGATCAGGTCGTGGCATGAAGACTATTAGAGAGGGTTCGTCACTTGAGTCCGCTCGCTTTAGGTGATGGGTTTGATTAATTGTTGCGGGGGTAATAGTTCCGGTCAAATCTCTGGCCGAGTCTCTTTCTCTCCCTCGCCATGAGATTTACAACTTTGAGAGCGATTGGAATGTATTTAATCCCTACAAATTTTGTCTTTAGCCTTACGGCTATTCAGCGCATGTAAACGTGAAGGCTCACCGTGAAAGAGCTTCCAGATAATATCTTCGGCGAGAAGATTAACATGCTGATTGCCGTCTCCTTTGGCATCTTCATACCCGCTCGGTTAATCATGGATGCGAAGTATGGTGGACTAAACGTCCACCCTTCACTACTCCCTATGTAAGTTTACGCTAGAAATTGACCGGCTTGTCAGCAGCTGTTTCTAACGCAGGTTATCTAGGTACCGCGGCGCGGCCCCAATCTATCATACTCTCCTCGACCAGCAACCCATAACTGGTGTTAGTGTCCAGACCCTACACCCTGTGAAATTTGATCACGGAGCAATTCTTCTGCAGACAAATCCACCGATCAACGTTCCCCCTAAAACTCGGTATCAGGCCCTCCACGACACACTTGCCTCCCATGGAGCGGAACTGCTTGTAGAAACACTCCGTCGGGGCCTATTCTTCCCTCCGCTGGATCCGGTAGAGAACGATTACAAACCTTCACTTGCACCTAAAATAGACCCAGAGATACACGCAAGGATCGACTGGAAATCACAGAATGCAGAAGAAATAGAGAGTCGCTGCGGTACGCTCAATACGGTATGGTGTAAGCTTTCTTCCATCGAGGAACCAGAATTGGAGCGAAGGAAGCGTGCTATATTATCTGGTGTGAGCGTTTTTGAATGCCCGGAGATGGAGCGGAAGGGAAAGGTGGTCCGACCGGGCACTTTCAGACACTTGACCGTGAGAAACGGCGAGGATTTGTACGAAACCATGATTGTGAAATGCAAAAAGGGAGGAGGGTGGATTAGTGCCGAGGGAATTAAAATTGAGGGGAAGAGGCTTGTGAGTGCGGGAGAGTGGGCAAGGAGCATTCTTGCTCAGAAGGGGAAAGGTGTTAAAGTGTTTACTTGAGATGCTCCTGAAACATTGGCGAATACTCTCGGTGGATGAGAATTAGCAAAAGTTTGTTATATACTATATTACTATTTAAATTGGGAACCTCGAACTCCTGCGTGGCCTGTTCAAGTGGGCCACTTGTGATTGCCATTTCTTATCAAGAACTCTTGATCATAATAACTCACTCGATAAAATCTAATTTGTGGACCTTTTGATTTATGCCTTGCTCCACGGCACTCCGTAGCGCCGAACCGGTGCCTGTATCAGGCTCCGTAAGTCCTGTTAAATTGCCGTTCAATCAAAGCCAACCCGTTTGTTTATTGGCAAGTTCTCAATGTGTGTATAAACATCACAGAAGATCAATCCCATGTGGGTGCCAATATCTCCACACATGATAGACCTAAACATATGGAGCCCTAGAAGGCCAGATCTCTCTCAAAGAAAAAACGACTTGTGGAGCCGCTTGTATGCGTCCTCCCTAGATCATATACACATAGACTGGTTCTTGTGGTCCCCCCTTTGCCGGACGTTGCCGGGCACAGGCCCTGAAACGATCCACGGGAATGGTTCTAATGGTATCATGCAGCGATATAACATTTAAATCCGTTAGTTATGACATCCTGTACCGTTTTCGAGGTTCGGATACCATGCGATTGCGGGACGAGGGGGCGCGGAATAAGTCACGATATGAGTGGTTTTCTTTGAAGAGGGGATGGCTCCCTTGCGCTATTTAACTTATATCGATTGGAGACCCCGCGTACGTAAATAGCGTAGGGAAGGGATCGTCGAGAAATTGGTGTGTTTGCTTGTTTGTGGATAACTTTATATGGAGGGGGTATAATCTCATACTTTGTATAATCCAGTGGTGGCACCTGTCTGGAGGTGCTGACGGGGAGCCCAAACTGGACGGTGCCATGATTCGAAGTCTACCTGGCCCCGGGGTATTAGATGGTACAGTTTTTTCGGCGGGGGCGGTGGGGCAGACAAAGGGAGACATCGTTCTACGGTAACATTCAGAGCACTGAAGGTAACTGGTAGTGGACTATCGGTTTCCACCAAAGTCTGCGGGGGGGGCCCTCTGGGGGGCTATGGGGACCGGTAAGTGTGACGAGTTAGTGGCGATGAGTGATAGGCTATTGGAATTTGGTTTTTATACGGGGAGGGGGGATAGTACTTGTGCGGAGGATATCATATATGGAGCTTCCTCAATTTTTTCAACCTCCCCCCATTGTTTTTCCTGGGGTTTCCACCACATGGGAGGTGTTAGCTCAAGTGGGATTTAGAGTGGGTCGTGCGTTTTTTCACATATTGTGGGAAAGCAAGATATTAATAGGTATTCCGGGGGGGGGGGGGGGGGGCGGACTCATTTTAATCACAAGGAGTCACTCGCATCTGGTAAATCTCAAAGGAGAATTAGAGCTGCCAATTAGAGCTGCCAAGCAAGCCAGCCACAAGCCCAGCAAGTTCTACGGGAGCCCGTACACTCCGCATTCCAAGATACTAGAAGGCCCTATAACGAGGACGTTTCCCTACCTTGCCTTTCAACCCAATGCTCGGGGCAGAATCATCATCACGGCCGCCAGCCCGGCGAATCACTGTCAGCCCCACCGCAACCTCACCCGCGCGCCGGCCAATACCCATGTCGGCCCAACAGCCGTCCACCCGTGGCAGCCGATCTCTCTAGCTTTTGGTATTCTGGGAAGGTGGTATGACTCCTTTGTGTCAGGCCTTACATGGAGTTTATCTACCCCGATCCCTATGCTCTGCTTTCGGTGCGAGGTTGATTGCCCCTTAGATAAACGCTTGGGAAATTCCTAAGACCTGGTGGATGTTGGCGGGGAGGTATACTGGAGTTGATAGACCTAATTGACGATTTATACACCAATGATCCACTCCAAGTCCATCCAGGATCCAGAGAATTTCTCCGGTATAGCAATGCAACGAAGAACCTCCTTCACCACATTATCGGCCGGTTCCCATGGCCCGACAGTCAAGGGCCGGCCACTGCCAGCTTGCACAGGGAAGGCCGGGGCCCCGACCCCCAGCCACGGAGTGGATGTATGCATCATAGCATGCGATAAGAAAAGGAAAGAGGGAAAAAAGCAAGCCCTGGAGGACCACACTTTTATCACCTTGGGGTGGCTGTATACCCCGGGTGACTTCAAGGAAACAGAGACGCTTCAAGCGAGAGCCGACTTTACATATGAAATTCCCGCTCCGAGATGCTCAACCGGAGCCCTGTCTCCGCAGCACAACCGATATGTTTGGCTATAGCCGGATATTAATTGAAATGAAGGCCATCCCGTAGGTGAGAAGCTTAAGAATTCACGTATGTAGCTGAGCAGACCAGGGCTTTAACATAAACCGCAAATCTTCTACAGTCTTGTGAATTCTCTCTCTCTGGGATATTTTTGTTGGTGCAAGTTCACCGCCCAGTTATGATACAATAAATTAGTCCAATGCCATACCTCCAATAAATATCGATCCATGGAGACTCACTCGACCACGCCGGATATTCTACTGCTAGCGCCTGCACAGCCCCCGTTCCCCAGAATTGCGCGCTATCAGGCCCGCGCTCGCGATAGGGATGTACATAGGTGGAGCAAAAAAAAAAAAGGGCCAAAAGATAATAATATCACGATACCCCAAATACCCACACCCAGAACAGTCTTCGTGATAGAGTGCCAAAGACGATAGGGTAGCAACAACCAACCACCACCCCCTTCGGAGGAGATATCGTATCGTACTCAACCTGAGCGAGGAACGCAGGCTCATGTGCGCTAGCCCACCTGCCAGGTAGGCTATCGTGAAACCCATACCCGAGGAGGTATCATGGCACCACACCCACTCAATTGCAGCTCCCCAAGCTGTGCACGCGCCGAGCGAGTTCAGCGCAAGGCGTTAGGGGCAAACCCGGTAACAATCTAGATGGCAAAGAGGCAGCTCACCAGAGCTTTCTCTTTTACATCCACTCCAACCTTGTAGTGATATTCTATGTAACTAGCTGGGACCTAGGGTTCAGTAGAGGATAGGTGTTAGGGCTGTTGTAGTGCTGAGCACTATGGGCGGATAAGCTTAAAAGGGAAACAGGGAGAGCGGAGGAACTCAATCAATTAGCATCATCCTTCAACTTCCCCGTTCATTCCTATCAAACCTTCCCTATGCGTGTTAGCAGTGACCGGCCCTTAACTCCTGGGTCTTGGACTAGTTAATATGATAGCTCTCCCTTTTTCGAAAATCTAATGATAGGGGAGGGGAATGTATAAACCGTTAGTCGGGTTTACAACATCGTAATATTGATATACAAACACCCCTTCGTCCAGATATGAATACCCCATCTCACCCACTGACACGCGGAGCCCTATTACACCCGACGCATTATCATACAACCAGGACGAGATACTCAACCCCATACCCCTCCCAAGTCCCGACAGCAGCACCATAGAAACACAGCGTCCCTTCCCCCAGGAACCGCACTGCAGAGGCCATCATCCTCCGGTAGTGAGCGCTCATTACCATAAGGAATGGATACCGAGCATGCAAGGGACCGACGGAACTGAATCAGATAACACGCATCAAAAAGGAAAGGAGGAGAGAACCCATGGATTCTCAAATGATGAGCAGGTAGGTAGGCCGAGAGCAAGAGATGCTCCAAATAGTTGCAGCATGTTGAGCGGAATTCAGAGGTTTTTTCTTTCTTTTATTTTTCTCAAGAAATTTTCTACAGTGAGGATTTTGAGCGAGCTCCACATACCATGTTATTCACTTCTACGCTTAGGCCGTTTTTGCACGCAAGATGCTACCGCCTCTAAGCTGGCCCAGCCTAAGTACCCTTTTACTGTAAAGCCAAGTCAGCGATACAAGGATAAATAAATTTTTATTAAACCCAAGAACACGAACGTTACCCAGAACAGATTCACGAGTGACTTTTTGTGAACTAGCTTCTTAGACTATCCCCAAAAATGATACTATCATAGTACAGTACAAAGTATCATACGTAGAAAAAAAAGCTTAAGTTATCAAACTCTCCACAACTGCACAGTGAACCCAACGGCAGTAACCCGCATCCCAAACACGACTTCATCCAATCGATCAATCAATAAACCAATCAATCACCCTCCACCAAACCACCACTACAATTACCATACGCTTAAAACTAATCTATTAAACACACAACTTTTTCAAACTCCGGCCCAAACCAACGCCCAAACCAACAATCAAGCAATCAAAAACATCGCTAAGTAAATTCCCCATTCTACCATCCCACTTTATAACCACCGCCAAAAGACAAGCCTATCCCCTGTTCACGTTTGGCTGAGCACCAAGCACCCATCCCAATCCACTAGCAAGCCCACTAGTCACCATCCCAGAGACCATATCCCTCTTTCTGGTCCTCTGTTCTTCCATCGCCGCAGCCGCGCCATCCCCGATAGGGGCAGGATTCCCACGAGGGGTGGACAGTGGAAACGCAGTCCCCCGGAGAGCCTTTGCGGCACCGGCCGCGACGGCGAATAATCCCATTGGTGTTTCGTCGTCTTCCCCCCTGGATGCGGAGGAAATAGTGCTGGTGTTTCCTCCGCTATTATTATTACTACTCCAGTATGCTTCGCGCTTCTCTTCCTCCTCCTCTTCTTTTAAGCCAATCAACATTTCTTCTTCGCATCTACGCCATGAGGCAAGGACCTCCGCAAGTGCGGACGGAGGGCAGAAACGCAACGCCTGAGCGAGAAGTTCCATCCTCATTTCTACCGTTCTGAGAGCTTTCCCGCCAAAAGCTGCCGTCTCACCGACTAGAGCTGCGTATGGAGATCTATATCTTCCAGCCTGGAAACATGCTCTCCAAACCATGTCCGCGACGTCTTCGTCCACATTACGCTCGTTTCCAGCGATCATGATTACAAGGCGGTTCATTCCTAGGGAGTGCGCTGTCTCGAAGTCGCCCTCGGAAAGCGCGGCTTCGATGCACATTCCTATTACTCGGGCGTCGGTTTTCTTGCCGCCGTCGTTGCCGGTGGTGCCGAAGCGGAGGTCCCGGGCTATTGTTACGAGGGTTTCTGACTGGGCGAAGCTCTTCGGGGTTGAGTCCAAAAGGCGGGCGACGAGTGAGACTGGATCACTATGGATCCGTATCTGCACTGGCAGTAAGGGGATACCGGGTGCGAGTGCCAATGGATAGTGGGATAGCGCATGTGTTGCATTAGTCAACCGATATGCACGTTCAAGAGCAGTCGATTTAGACGTGCGAGGGTATAATATTTGAAGACTAACAGCATTAGTTCAACCCACAAAAAGCAACATAGAGAGAAAGTAAAAAACATACGTGCCAAGAGCGTTTTTCATACTCCCTCGAGTCTTATTTCCGTTGCTTGCATTATCGTAAAATCCTTGGAACGCATCCAGAATTCCTGTCTCGACATCGCCCTTTCTAAGACTTCCATTCCGTCCATTGACATAAATCTCCTTGACCAAATCAAACTTTGTAGCCGCCAGCATAGCGCTAAGTAAAACCTTCTCTACCTCTTCGACTGTTAACTTATCAAAAACCTTGGCCTTCGTCTGCAGCCATTTAACACCATCCCTCGTTCTTCTCCACTCTTCATCGCTCTGCTTGGCCCAGTTAGGTCCATTCCGGACATGTCTCACGAGCAACGCTTCCTGATCCGCGTAGGAGCCTTCCAACCTGATTCCCGCAACGTTCGCTAGAGGGGTCGACAAGACCCCAGCAGACGTTATCAACACGTCCAGAAGCTGCAGAGAAGTTTCATTAGGAGCCGTTAATGGATTCCCCTTGTCAAACGGATCTCCAAGTTTCCCCGGAAGTTTCTGATCCTTGAACCCCTGATCCTCACTAACGTACTTCGAGCACCTTCGATGAATCGCACGCATCCCCTCCAACACTAATTGTTCTGTTTCCAGACACACATAGCAGCCAGCAATTGAAATCCTGGCATACTCCTCTGCCAACTCCCGGTCTCCCACTGGTCCATCCCACTTCGTAACAACCTCGACGAAACCCCCCCAATTCCCATCAGCAATTTTACACTTCAACCACTCCCAAACAACCTCCCACCCCTCACGGTCATTCCTTTTAGCACCCAGATAAGGTCCTACAAGTCTCTTCAAATCATCAACAACTTGACGACCTCCACATCGAGCAAGTAGCAACCTGATCCCAACCTGCGCCTCCAACTCTCCAAAGGTCTCCAACCTTCCTCCCCCATCCTCAGCCTCTTCACCTGTTCCCACATCTTCACTAGCGTAATCATACGTCAGTCTCGCCAAAACCTCAACGATACCCTCCAGGTACTTATCGATGCCCATGACCACCCCAACAAAGGGTGACAACAGCTCGATAACGATCGACAGCGCGCCCGTCTCCCGATCAATATTCCACGCCCGACAGACCAAGTACGACAACAGCATGCCCTCGTCACTCGTCCTCTCACTCTCAAGTAATGTGAGCGTCGGCAGCTCCTTCACCCTCTTATTTGCTGTCTTTTCCGAGATCTTCGATACGGCGGCGGTATCCACCTCCGTAGCACTCTCCCCGGGTTCGCCTTTGATTAAGGGAACGTACAGATCAGGCTTCGTAGTTTCTGGTAGGCACAGAAGCACACGCAATTGCATCTCTTTAGAAAACGTGGATGGGTGCAGGAAGAATAAACTTCGGAGGGATTTGAGTTCGGCGGAGGAGGCACAGTGAGCGGCGAGGACTATCGATTTAGCTGCTGAGAGCTCGGATGCAGACACTGGATTCGGCTTCGGCATTTCTTCTTATGTTTTTTCGGGATCTGTGAGGAGAGTTGGGGGACAAAGGAACGGATCTAAATGTGTTGAACACCGTGTCGTGCTAGGCGAAACACGTCGGGAGAGCGTGGCTTCGTCACTAAATTCCCGAAACCTTGGCATTACTCACGTGACGCTCGTATTCTCACTCGGTTTTAGGATCATCGTGCGGATACAGCACGGTATCATATTGGTACAAGGGGAGGAACCCATTAACCGGAACAGACAAGGAAGTATTTTGTCTGGTTAACCTCAAATAATAGTTCTATAACTTCTTACCGGACCTTGTATCATATCATAGCAAACTAGGAAATTCTGGGTACTTGTGCTATAGCACCCGCACCCCGAATTACAGAAAAGATTAGACGCTAAATAGGATAAGAGAAGATACCGGGCATCGATTACCTCCCCCCGCACAGGGCACCTGTATTCCATCGGAATGATGCCACTAGCTACATGATATATTATACACAGGAAGCGTGCGAAAAGCGCACAAAACCCCCCTTCCCAGTCAACCTGACCTGACCATGAAAGAGATGAAAATTCCAACCAATTCCCAGGAAAAACACTAGCTCTCAGACCATGAACGCCAAACTAGAGAAATGATACAATGCCACCCAGAGCAGGATCCAAAAAAGAACCACGGCGTGATATACGGACAATATACCCCTGTAGTGTAGTGAAGTGAGGTGAAACCACTGCACTCGGTTTCTCCATGTTAATCCAACTAACCGCCCAAGAAACGGAAATAACCTTCCGAGAAGAAGAAAGTGGGGGAGAGAGGAAGTTGAAAAACTTAGGAAAATACTTGGAGATGGAAAATAAAAAATACTGCCCCTAAAAACACCTTCTCGGATAATAAAAAAATAAATATAAAAGAGAGAAAAGAGGGGACAAGACCCCTATCCATTCCTCAAGTGTATGGTCTTCTAAGTGATCGAGTCGACCTTTCGTTTTATGAGTTCATAAGTGCTCCAGAATACCGAATTTACAATGCAAGTCCGAGCCATAGAAACACCAAGCCCTCGATACCTATGATTTGTCAGCCAAGGGTTCAGCGGACCAATCATATAGGCCAATGATAACCCCAGCGGATTTGGACAAGCTTGGGACATATGTGGATCGTCTCACATTCTCCTATTAAAAAAGCGGAAAGGTCTTTTAGGAAGAGCCTCTCCTGGTCGATGGGTAAGGACGTCTCTTTGGTATATTGACTTCGCAGAGTCGATTGGATATACCTGGTGATTGTTTCATTAGAAAAAGGTCATATGATGCAAAACGCGCGGGCAGCGCTAACTAGAACCCAGCTGAGGAGACCGCATAAGCCCCCAGAAGTTGCAATAGCCAGTGGTCCAGCACCACTCGAAGAGGCAAATAACTGCTTCCCGCTCTCATAGAACTAATAACCCGGTTAGATCATAAAAGTAGTTACAAAGGAAGCGGGTGGGACTACATACGCTGAAGTACATAGCTGTGCCAAGTGTGTCGCGGACTTTTCTCGTTGGTCAGTATAATTTACCACGGACAGGGAAGTCTGCAGACAGATCTATAAACTCACTAAAATGTAGATGAAATCCGGAATACAACCCCCAAATACCCCGGTTTTGGACAATACTTTTGGCGCTCTGGAAAGTTCCCTTCGGCTGGTATCTGGTGATATGGCTAGGATCATCCACACCCACCATCCGTGACCGGGCCATTAACAACTCAATCTGCGATGATAACTTTGTGAATTCAAATGGACCTATGCCATGAGCCCTTATCAGCATCCTAACCCGCTCAGAAAAATAGCCCGGAGACTGGCCACCATAGCTTTAGCAAAGAAAGAGCAAAATCACTCACATGCAATAACGGTGATTGCTCCACCAGCGACGGCCCCACTCACAAACCAGTATAACGGATTGAGTGGCTTGTAAGGAGTGTTTGGAGGAGAAATCGCATTCTTGCCGAAAACCGGTTGGAGGATTCCGGAAAGCGTAACTTTAGATTTAGAATATATTGAAAATGATACCGTCCGAACAAGCGTCACGGAGGCCAAAGGTGCAAGACTTCCTTCAGGATAAGGGATTAGTTAGAGATTGGGCTCAAAAAGCTGCAGCAAACAAATTTAAGCGGGGATGAGCATCGCATACCACGCCAAAAACCTCTTGTTCCTTCAGTCTTTTGGGTTTGAGTGACGCAGTCCCAGAAACTTCGAAACTTGTACCTAAAGAGTGTCAGAGGGTAGATTGTATCACATGATAGGGTGTTCGAGCTTCAAGAGAAGCTTCAAATGTTCCATTGGGATAGTATTCATTGATGAGAAGCACTTACGCTTGCATCCGGGTCTTTATCGAATCGAGGGGAAACTAAGGGCAAGCAACAAGATATCTCAGCATCCGACAGCCCTAATCGTCACTAGTATCTCGGGAAACCAGGAGAAGCCGGAAAAACTTACGGCGATAAAAGTGGAAACACAGCTGCTGGCACTCGCCGCGACCTCGGTCCGATACTTCTTCGCGAACAACTCGCTGCCCGTCAGAATTCTTTGAGGTCTTCTCACCACCAAACCCCTCCCGCTACCACCATCTCCGCCGATAGGCGCGGGCTCGTCTTTGGCAACCGCCCCTGGTGGATTCAGGGTCACCCTTTCACCAGGCATAGCGCGGGTTTCTCAGTGGAAATGTGAAGTCAGGAACTCAGTAGAAAAGGGGATTAAAAGATATCGATTTTGAAAGCAGAAGCCGAGTTTCAAAAAAAGATATAAAAATATAAAAGGATATAAAAAATGAGGTCAAGATTTCAACAAGTTTAAGCAAAAAGAGGGTAATTGAGGTCAGATTAGTGTTCTGTCTTCAAAAGGAAGCGGTAAATCATTCAAGATATCGTCCATTGAGTTCCCACGCTCTGTTTCTCACGAATAAGTTCCTGCGGGGGCCGTTGGGACAAATTCTGTTGTTGAGGGAACTTCCGTGCGGATTGATCTCAATGGTGGGGTTTTTGTTGTCGCGGGGATTGAAGGGTGGGATCCGGGAGGCTGGTGCATAACAATGCATAAATGCGCCTATCTCGTTTTTCCTTTCTTAAACTTGGCTAAGCATCGGTTAAGTTAAGGATCCAAGCTTGTCTCTTGTGCCGCAAGCACGGGCTCTATGGATCGATCCGTGAACCGCTCCCTTCTAATGCCATGATGGAGTACATATTGCAATATATTTTTATCAATGCGCTGAAGCATCGTCATTTTAATAACCGCAGCAGGGTACTGAAAGTACACACCCATCCACACCCACACATACACACACACAAACATAGTCTACATATTCGAATGTGGTATCATTCTCCCTCACTTATTCGTTTATTTATTCATAAGGGATAGTCTATCACGTTATGTTCAGCCTTGGAGAACATGTTGACCATCGATAAAGGAATACACTTAACTTACGGTAATCTTGCCGGATCACAGCTGCGGGGACTGGCGGGGGAGGCAACTAACTAGTTTAATTGAAGCCCACATTTCGCAAGGAACATACAGTAGGATACCGGTAGTTATCCACCATTTCAAAATGTTTAAAAGCATTCGAAGGGTATCCCCTCGCGCTGGTTCTCAAATTTGCAGTCACCGGGGGGAGATCCGAAAGTATGGTTGAATGAATTTAACAGCAAAGTCACCACACGTTATCACTACGCCCTCATCTCCGGCTCCCTCCCATTAGGTATATCATTGCTTACAACACCAGTTAACCCTCCTCATTCACTTCACTCGAAACGCACATTCACCCTCTCACCCCTGCGACACTACCGCTCAACTCCAACTCACAGAATCTACAAGAAGATACCAGCAATTGCCATGACACCAGCCAAAGCGCCGTAAGTACCAACAGGTGTAAGGGCAAGCGCGGCATTGGAGGAGCCAGAACCAGAGGATGACGAGCTGGAGGAAGACGGAGCTTTAGTGGTAGTCGGAGATCCAGAACCAGTGGGCGCTGAAGAGGCTGCAGTGGAACTACCCGTACCGGAAGTTGACTTGGCTGTGTTTGTCAAAGCAGACGCTGAAGAAGCTGCCGCCGCTGCATTACAGAAGGAGGTAACACTGCTCTTAATACCAGACGAGTCTATCCACATTCCCCTCGCATCAGAAACCATACTTGAATGTTGTAGGGGAGTGAGGGGTCGCAGGAAACCTACTGGTATCCTTTGGGCAATTGTTATAACAGGTCAAAAGGTTCGTGTACTCAACACACAAACACGAGTAATCATTTTGAGCTGTACGTTCACGTTAGGGTTTGTCTAAATAAGCTTGGATATAAAGTTGTTTGAACTTACAGCAACCAGAAACGCGCGGGCTGTACTGGGAAATACAAGTCTCTATAGGAATATTTAGTCCTCTGCCCTTGTTTCTTTCAAACATAAATTGTGATTCCTACTACACACCAACAACGCTGTCCACGTGTTAGCTATAACAAACTCGACCTAATATATCCAGACCAAGAAACTCACTTGAAAGCATCACAGCTGTGGTCGACTTGCCAGGTCTGAGCAGAAGTGAAGCCGGCAAGGGCGAGAGCGAAGACAATAGTGGAGGGAATTTCGAATAGCATTGTGGGTATCGATTAAAGAAGTACAAGTATTAAGGGGTAGCAAATATTGGTATAAAAATTATAGACGAGAGCGAGCGTGCACACAAATAAATAGTGTACCAGGAGGGAGAGGGTATCAGCGAACGACAACGAGGGACTCGCAAAAAAACGACTGTGGAGAACAATGGTGAGGAGGAGAGGGAGGAGAGGGAAGGGAAAGGGGGAGAGGCCAGGAATATAGGTAGAAGAAGGGATAGAAGGTATGGGGGATCTGGTGGTGGCTATTCCTGGGTCCGGGAGCCACCGGATTGTTCTGGGGGAAGATACCAAAAACGAACTAAACCATTCCCATCGCGGTGGGCAGCCAGCCGACAAAACAAATTCTTTAGACTACGGTACCGGTACGGCAGCTTCATATCGTGCAAATTACAATTCGACCTGCTACTGTGCCGTCTAGTGCCGGACACCCAAATCCGACCTTCCCGTTCGCTGCCTCTGCTTAGTAACGCATAGAAATATTGGCGCCTTGGCATATATTTGCATGTGTGTTCGAAAATACCAGTACCCACCTTACTCTACCGGTCTCACAAATACCCAACCGATCAAGAAGAAAAAAAAGATCCGGTCCATAAACGAGCAATTACATGGATTTTCTCGAAATAGTCGGCTGTTGCCGGGGTATCATAGGCTCGTCCCTGGTTTTTGGTTGTGGGAGGGTCGATTTCGGACACTTGGCACCGTGCTCCCCTCGTGAGGTGCGCAATCGTATGATCCCACATCCGCCGTGAACGGGGAGACCACCAATCGCTCATTCTGTCTTTACTGTCAAATGTTATTCACCTGCACCTGTGGACCTGAATTCATCCTTTTGTGAACGGCGGTGGCGAGAAGGGATTATGGTACAGTACCGGCATGTTGTGCTGGAACCGAACACCGGAGTCGATTGCCAACGCCATGAGAGGTGCCAGTGTGAGATCGTGCCGTACCGTACAGCACTTCGCTTCCAACGAACAAACCAATTAAACGCTGTCCCTTGTCCCCAGGGTGCGATGGGAGGAGGACTTCCAACACAAGTATTTAATAGACAGAACTGAGTCAATGACAGGGGTCCCAGATGATAGACTACCGGTACCAGCACCAGCACCCCTCCTCCACAAACCTTAGCAGTGGGGGCGTGAGAATTTGAACACAATCATGCTCCCCCTGGAGTCATCACATCTAACGTGTATCTTTTGTAGGGCCGAACTCGCAGATCTCGCTTCAATTTTATCCAGAGTAAGATTGTTATGGACAGGAATTGCAAGCCCAATCGCCCTGGTCAAACATCGACAATAAATGACAAATTCCGAAAGAACAAGCAACAAAAGAAAGCAGAACAAAGAGCAGAAAAAAAAAACCCCATCCTCCCTACCAAATATCGACGCCTTGGTGTAAATAAGATCCAAGCTTCCATCCCTTAGTTGCAAATTGAGCCTGCTACTACTACATAATAATATCCCCTTTAATCCATCAATGCAGAAAGTCTTGTTAGCCCTTCGCTCTCCTCTACAAGCGCCTAGAAATTTCTTCACATAATGTAAACTTTATCATTCCCCTCCTTTTCCATCAACAGCAAGAAGAGAAAGCTACTAGTGTCCAGAGCTACAGTATTCGCACGGTACCACCCACCAACTTAATAATTACCGCAGGAGAAGTCCGTTCAGGGGAAAGGTCAGAACAAGGAGAGAACCATGAGAAAATGAAATGTTAGAAAACGAAAAGGTGGAAGCATGGATGAGTGGACTATTCTTGCCCAAATCCCATAGTCTCTTCCACCGCCAACGATAACTTTTGATTTAGAACATCAAAGCTCTTATACGGAGGGAGGTCTAATCGGTTGAAACTGTTCGCGGAAAGTTAGAAATATTAGTTAAAAATCTTAATAGTAGACACCCGCTGGCGTAGGGTCCAATGATTCTCCAAACTTACCATGTGTGGGATTTTGGTAGCTGACCAATGTCACCCGCTTTCTCAATCGTAAAACGACGGGGTCCATCACTACCCTGCAAATCCTTGAAACCGTTGACTGGAATACGTGAGGTACCAGTGGTGAACTGGAGCAATCTCGATTTCTGTTCAGCATCCCAACTCCGGACACACTATAAAAATAATGTCAGGTTAGTAAACACCCTCATGGATATATCTATGGAGAATGGGAATCTGCCTTCCAGAAATTCGCAATAACGTCATCGCTCTCTGTGTATCCTCTGTAGTCCGTGTGTTTCTTCCAGTCTTCAACATCGATATCGGCAATACCTCCAATCAACAACTCCAGCTCCCGCTCATCGAAAACGTTTATCAAATCAGCTGGTATAAGGTCGTGGAAACCGTCGACAAAGGCTTTGAACTGCTCCTGCACTCGCTTCTCAATACGCCAACCGGTGACAAGGCTGCAAAGAAGATAAAAGAGCTGGTCAGCATGAGCCTAAAGCAGAGGATTTTTGGGGTCAACATACTCAACATATTCCCTCTTGTTATCATTTGTGACTTCGATATTTTGGCCGTTAGGCTTCAAGTCGATGGTCACGGTCTCACCAAATCTGCTATCTTCTGTTGAGAAGGTGAGATCCAAGATGTCGGTGATGTCGTTCTCCCTATAATTCAGGAAGAATTAGACCATTTCTGGCGCGGGGGGTATGAACAATTGGGAACACATACAACATCCAGGTCAAGTTCCTGTGGAAATCGGCGTCAACACCTTCCATATCGGCCAAGACGACCTTCTTTTTCAGTATCATCTTATAAAATGCGCCGATAAAGAATGCATCAAGGAAGCGTCGATGGAAAATCGCCAAACCAACCACTCGCCCAATAAACTTGAAGTAGTTAAGGTGTTCCGGGTTGATTCCGGAGTGAGGGTTTATTTGGAGGGTGTAATTGTCATGGGCAGAATACTCAAACAGGCAATAGAAAGGGTTGAACATTTCGTGTGAGAGCAAGAAGAAGAACTCTCTACACAGTTGTTAGAGGTGAGAAGAGCGCCAAGGAGAAGGATCGCATACCTCGATAACCCGCCATAATCCAAACCATCTTCACCATCAAACTTGACCATGAGCCGCTTCTTGAGGTCATTGGGCGTCTGTCGCATGATCTCCGCATATGAGTCCTCGAAAATGTGGTTCCTACGAACTTTAACATGACACTGGCCAGAGAGGATACGAAGCGCAGGCTGTGAGCGGAAGTAAATAAGCTTTCTCCTAAAATCGCGCTTGTACTGGGGAACGTTCTGATCAAGTGACGATGGAAGCCGTGGGTCATCCCAAGTTGTCGTTTTAGTATTGTGATCCACGAAATACACCCGCGCGGTGTTGGTCAATCTCATTTCCCATCCGCTGGGTAGGGGGCCCAGCTGCGAAACGGGAAGGTTTTGAATGCTTGGCGTGCCTGTATTACTTCCGTACATGCGAATGTATTGTTGCCTCCTTGGGTCTACCCACGTTGTTGCACGAGTATTGTGATCCACATAGTACGGCCTGCCCTCCGGAGTATGCCTTTGTTCCCAGCCGGGGGGAAGTTCACCAGTTCCAGCCGTTGTAGCACCCGTTGCCATCATCGATGCCGCTGTCGCATTGTTGACATGGCTCTCCGGCTGTGGAGGTGCGGCTGGGGTCGGAGAGTTGGCCCCAGTCCTATCTTCGGGTAGCATACGGTTTTGATGCCTCTGTCTCTCGGCCTCGGTGTTTTGCTGCATAGCAACCCGCTGGTCGCTTTCATTATAAGTAGTTGAAGGTCTGTTCCAGGTCGTAGTACGGGTGTTGTGGTCCACGTAATATGTCCTACCCAGATTATCTTGACGTCTCTCCCAACCAGCAGGTAACCTTCCTTGGTTATCCTCAAATGAACTCATGTTGTGTGCGTGACGCCCTGTACCGTTCGTTGAGGAATGTGGATTGTTCGGCGGCGCTCCATTTTGTTGCTGAGGAATACGAGAAGGCATCGGGCCAGCAGGACTAGCAACCGATACTTGTGAATGCCCTAAGTCAGAACTGTAAAGTGAGCCACCCGCAGGAGACGCCTGTCCTCCGTTGCCCCCAGTAGGTACAGGCAGTGTTGGTCGATGAGATTGGATTTGGCCAGGCGTTCGAATAGGTGTATGGATGTTCGTGGTCAGGCTTACGATAAGTTTACCATGAACTATCACGTTCTCATTCGATTTCTTCAAATCTCTCGTAAGCATTTCTATGCAACCGAGTCAGCTCCGAACTAGTATGTTATGCGACACATGAGTATGACAAACCATCACCGCCTGAAGAGATGTCAAGCACATCGCCCACTCGAAGATTGATAACACCAAGGAATCCCTGATCTTTCTTCTTGAACTTCTTCTGGTCAAATATCTGCACCGCTACGATGGACGCTTCCGAGACTTGTCTGATGTGTAGGGTTAGCAGATCTGGAAGCTCAAGTTGCCGAAGAGAGAGAGCGCCCATACAAATCAAACGACTCGTTCCAATAGGGATTTAATGTTTTGCGTATCACCGAAGTTGTATGAGTCTGCTCTCCATCAACAGTGACGACAGCAAATGGGTCCGGGAACTCTGGAGACGGTTAATACCCCACCCCCGCCCTCAGAGAAGCATCGGGACCTACTAAAGACATCTCTCTTATAAAGCCCATCCGCAGCGATAACTACATATGTGCAAAATTAGTCATGCAGGCTCGTTTTGCAAAGGCGTAGAAAATATTTGAAAAAGGTACCTGTGATTCGAACCTGGCGCGGACTCCTGAATTCCCAAAAAGTCAGCCGCAATCCTCACCAACATGACCGATAAACCCTTGAGAGCAGCCAAACATACGCAGGTCCTTCTGTCATTATGGATGATTTGGTAGGGAGAAGGAAAGTTTTTTTCTCCTCTTCCGTCTTCTTCTGTGGGGAGAGAAAATTCAGGAGGTGTCTCTACGTGAAAGATTGTAGTTGGAGGCTCAGGGCGTAGCTGGGAAGAGGGATCCAGACGGTGGTTGCTCACTATAGGTACGTCAGGAATAGTGGCAGTGCTCGGTGGTCGAGGCGGCAGCGGTTGTGGCAGCGACAAAAGGGGAAACCAAGTGAAAGGCCGGGGGGCGAGGGTGGGGAAAGGTATGATGAGGGTTGGCGCTGAATGCTGGGAATGAAGGCCAGGGTGATAGTGATGGGATGGGCGATGGGCGATGAGCAACAACAGCGGGAGGAGGAGGATGGGGAATATGGGAAGGAGATGGAAGTGCGTATAGGATCGAGAAAGGTACCGTCACTACGTTCTTGCCAGAGCATTACAAGCACGTTTGATGTTGTCGCTGGCTGAAGTGCGGAGGGGTCCTCTGCGGAGATGGGAGCTGGGAAGGACAGGTTTCACATTCAATCACACCCACACCACACCTACTGAAATCGTACCAAACGGAGCTAGAAGAAGAGCGAAGAGATTGTTAAGACATCGTGTTTGCATTGTGCTCGAGTACGGTAGTCCGTAGGTAACTTTTCAGGGCGCGTCTAAACACCATGGGGTTTTCAAACCTTGACAACGGCAAAATGTGAGTTGCAACAAGAAACCACAATACTTGTAAAGACAGGTTGAAGATTTTGGCCAAAAATGGAGGCCTGCCTGGTCAACTGTCACTCATGATAAATTGCAGTTTTAATGTCAGCATGCAAATATCATGCTCGTTTGAAGTACACCTCTTTTCCACAGCCATGAATCCTACTAAATGCACTTACAGCATTGGATGGATATGACTTCTTATTGAATTCAATACTGCCATAGGTTCCTACAATGAGCCAAAGCTAGCCTTATTGATGATAGGTTTGTGGGATGAAATAGGAGTTTATTTCAGCTGTTTACATGGCTCTGATAGTTGGGTTAGGGCTTTGCATAGTTGCGGGATGGCGCGGGCGGGGAAATGCCAGTCGGATCAATATATCAGAAACCTTTGTTTTGACCTCATCATTGCCGCTCGATTATTGTGTCCTGATGTCAACTACGAGTAGACAGGCCACTCTAGGGCAAGAAAAAATGGAGTTTTACTGCAAACTTCCCCCCCTCTCTCTACTCGTAAAGTACCGTGCTCGAGTCTTACCGGTATCAGGGTCCAAATGAGGGTTTGGGGCGGCAACCAGACGCGTCCCAGAAATCTTTGGTCCACCTCTAGTCTAACAATCACATCGATACTCTTCGAGCACCGCAAAAACCACTTAGTCTATGGTTTTCACCTTTTAAGGTATGTTATAGATTATGTTTTGATTCCCAACCGTATTTTGCAAGTATATATATATATATGGGTACTGTATGTTTCTATCTTGTGATTATAAACAAAATTGTCGGATTAAGTGATGCCGGTACTCAAAAGACCTGTGGCACTACAATAATGCTTATCCGACTACCGTACTGTACTGCGATACCTCGACGGTACCGTATTTCTCTGGACTTGGTGCAGTACTAGTACATAGCACTCCTGTGCCCTCAGCCGCCGGTTTCTGAAATCACAGGAGCCCAGATACAAGGCCACAGTATGCTGTGGCACTCGAGGATAACCTATTACTCGAGTACATGATGCTGTAGTTCAGAACTCGCTTCACACGCTAGAGTGGAGTAACGAAGCTTCATGGTTCCCGCTACCGATCTCCTACCTCCTTGGAAAAGCGGTTCGCAGCAAATTTGAATCCTATATCAACTGGACCGCCGTTTCATTTGTCCGAATGAAATACGGTACCGGTATCGTATCGATAGTCCACCCTCACCGTTAGTGATTGATATGTAATCCCAGTTGGTAGTTGGCGGGATATGGCAGATAGTTGGAAGGTATGGTGACGTTTAGCTGGAACAGTCATGACTGTGGTTGTTTGTATGATAACTTTGCTGTTACGTGGGTTTACCCTGATAGTGTTGTATGTTTTCTCCTCCTGTACGAGTACTGTACTCAGGTGCTTAAGCAGGAACGAATCGGTCATGCAAACACATCCACTCTTGCCTCCTCACAAGTGCTTTCCCCCTTTCGCTACAAAGTACTCGAGTACCCGCTGCATACATTCGCTATCAGTTAGCGCCAGAATTTTTCGTAGAAGCATGGTAGCCATCTTCTTTCTGAACTCCGTTCTTGTCCCGATTACCTTGGTAAGTTTGAGCCTCCGCCAGAATTGAAACCAACTTTTTTAGACCGTGCTGTGCCGGTGCCGCTAGTTGTACTCTACAGGGATAGGGCCGGTGTCCGTATTGTACTCTCAGTTACACCTTATGCAGTCCTAGCGGCCCTTACATGAGCCCTGCCATCGGCACACGCGCAGTACGATATCAAAATTTGTCCGCTATCTTCACCTCTAACGCCGTCCTGTTTGAAATTATAGTAAGCCGAACTCCATCCCAAACTGATAGCTATCCAACGACATTTCGCCGTAGAATTCATCTTGAGTTTTGGTCCCATCCCAAAGTTCCCTTTTTGCGCTCGGGATCAGTCATCTTTTTTTCTCTTTTTTTTCCTTCTTTCCTCCTCTCTTCAGAATAAATCCAGTAGTAGCCAGTCGGGAACTAAACCATGGCTGAGAACTCACAAGACAAAGCTCTTATTATACAAAGTTCAGTAATATGAAATGACCAAAGAGTCGACGGTAGGGATAAAAAAGTGTTAAGAAAAAAAGCGAAAGTAAAAAATAAAGAAGGAAAGACATGACCCAGAACCGTCACAGTTTCGATCCAACCACCACTCACTAACCATTCGACAACCCTTACTAAATCTGCTTCTACCTACTTTTGCCTCCGTGCAACCTTCCTTTGCGTTTACTGTCCTAACCATCGCCCGTATCTTAGCAAAATAAGGAAACAAACAAAACCCCCGAAGATAATGGCCAAACTGAAAGCAGAAGCAAGCATATTCCGACATCTAGTAAGGGGCATATCCCCTCCCTCTGCCTCTATAACCGCCTCTGTAGCTCCCACGAGGGGCGTACCCGCCACGGTAAGTGGGTGAGAATCCCCCCCTTCCCGGGCCTCTACCACGTCCCCTGCCACGGTTCATGCCAGGAAGGTTGGTGCGCTTAGGGACAACCTGCGGGTTTAACAATTAGCATAATGAATGCAACAGCGGTAGGAAGCCAGCACATACCTTCAGCGAACGGCCACGGAATACGCTCTCATTAAGGACCAAGGCCTGGGCAACCAGACTAGGCTCAGTGAATTCGACGTAGGCATAACTATTAAAAACGGTCATCAGTACCAGACTATACCGAAACTATATCGGTGCCTCAGCGTGAGACATACCCTTTTGGATGACCAGTGAATTTATCTAGCAAGATAGTGACCCTATTGATGGAGCCACAACTTTGAAAGTGGGCTTGGATCTCCTCCGGGCTCGCTCCGTAATCAACATTGCCAACAAAGATACTGCGCGCATCAATATCTTCTTTGTCTTCGCGTAATTCGTTGGTCTCTTTATCAAGAGTGGCTTGCATCTCTCGAAGTTTTGCTGCTTCAGCCTCCATCTCAGCAACTCTGCGCTTCATGGCAGAAATCTCCTCCTAAACGGTGTCGAGAGAACATGGTTAGCATCTAAGCTCGTTCAACAAACAAGTACGATGGTTGGCAGGAATTTAATCGCTAATTGAAGGTTCCAAGAACACATTCAAGTACCCTTGCACCAACAAACGAAGCCGATTTGCTCAAGCTAAGTGAAATAGTTAACAGGGAGCGGAAAGGACCTTATATACCTCATCATCGGCACCCTCTTCATGGACGTCTATATGTTCAGCCTCCTTTTGATTATCAGCCATTATAACGTGTTATGGATGCTGTTGTTGCGGCAGGATGTGGTCCTGTGTCCAACAATCAAGGCCAAGGGAATGAGGTCAGCCTCAATGCAGCATAAGAGGAAGTGGGGGGGAGAGGAGTTATGTAAGAATTGAAGACTGTGGCACGAACCAGGAGAGCGAGGAGTGTGGAAGGGTGATGAAAAAAACTTCACTCCTGGTGTTGTCGTGGACAATGCCAAACGAAGGCAGTCCAGTACCGAATAGAAGAAGGTTTGTGGATGCCTAATGGATCAGTGTTGTGGGCTCAAGAAATTAAGAGGAGAATGACAACGGAAGGAACGATAGAGGGTTGTTGATGCACCAAAACTTTTCAGAGCGAGGGTTGTTCGTCGTTCTGCCACTGAATGCCAGTGATTGTTGACGACCGCCAAGTCTAGCTGCCTTCCGAATTAGTTCTAGTTTATTTTTGATTTTACGTTTTTGAGGCTCTGTCCTTTCTCCTACTCGCCACCTCTATTCGAATAACGGTATGTATCATAGAAAGAAAGAACCCGATGGAGATAAACTCTTCGTTCTCCAACCGCTCCACACTACGAGTATGGTATCGGTATTACTGAGTTATATTCAGCGTCTGTCAACCACTTCCACCACTATTTGATCAAAATCTAATAAATATTGAGAAATATCTCTTTTCATCCTCTATGGTGCTTGATTGTACGCAATCGTGAGACCCCCCCGCCCCCATTCCTCGCTACCGAATAAAGTCAAAGATAAAAATAAAAATAAAAATACCGGTAGTGATGCTACTTCGGCCGAGAGCATCTGTTAGGATGTTGTTAATCGAGACCGGTAGACATCATATTTTTGGCTATTGCTGTCCATTCCGAGCTCCACGTTCATGAATGGTGATATGGCTATATTATTCCTTCAAACTATTTTTACTACATCTAACTGTTCAAGTGGATGGTTCCCATTCTCCTTTTTTCCGTTACTTCTTTCTTTCTTTCTTTCTTTTATACATTTTCCAACCCTCTTACTCATGAACTGTTTCTCAACTCGAAGCTTAAATTTACGGTATATTGTCTTGAATTTGTGGTATTTATTATACAGTCTCAAAGCCGTCTTATTTCCTAAATCCTTTTTACCCGAGCACTGTGGGATACCGTACCGTCATCCTTTCCCTGCTAGAAGTACTTGCGATCCGGTGCTCGAGTGCGCATTCTTCGGCTTTGGAGACTGCCGGCAAAGGTCTCCCCGGCGGAAAAATGTATGTGGCACAACCTGTCGCAGTTGTCGACTCCGACGGACGGTCTATACTCGCCAGGATCGGTGAGATATCAGAATTGAAATCAGTTGGACAGATTATCTTCCTAGATCAATAACCTGATGCCTCGTACGAAACCCAGAGCTACATGTGGATGAATTCAAGGCAAGACACCATTTCTTATGGTGCCGGAGCACTGACTTTGACTCTCAAATTTCTCCGATATTAAGTCTATATTACCGGTATGCTAACGTAGTATGCATGCAAAGGTATAGGGTAATCAATGCCTGTTCTCAATTCTCAGATAAAAAAAATTGATTAATCAGATTGCCGGAGTAGCAGAGCTCTCACAGTTTCCGCTGTTGAAACGGCATGTGGAGGTCAATCAAAAGTTTCACGCTCTCAACTGCCGTTATCGCATCTACCAATGGCTACACAACACGACTCATTGTTTTCTTCCGTTGTTACATCATGATCACAAGACCAACCATCATATACCATTATAGTCACTATTCGAGTCTGAATTGGACTTAGAATCGGACTTCATTACCCAGCCGTTCAGTCCTGCTACCAGCACCAGTATGGTAACTCACTGCCGGCACACCGCAAACCTCGCTGAACCTACTACGAGTACTCGAGTATGATACTAGTATCGACTACGCAGCGGAAAATCACCTAACTAAACCACAATAGGCTTAGCAGGACGTTTGAGGGTTAACAAAATAGCGAATACCAATTAAGGAGACCCGGCAATCTCGGCTCGCCCAAGTTACATCGCGTCTGAAGGACATCGTTCCTTCCCGGGGCGTTTTGTTTTGTCTCTGGTTGTGGAGATTCGAGGCCTTGGGAGATATTTGATTTAACGGATTTTTAGGGTGGAGAGGTGCCCGGATACATCCCATTGGATAAACTTGAGAAGACTTTCAAGAATCAGAAGTTAAATCGATGTTATCGTTCTTGACTCACCCACCTAGATCGCAGCTTGCCACAGGTACGAAAACCAGAACATTTGATTGATGGAAAGTAAGACCGGAGCTTCGCGGGTCTTATGCATGTTAGACAGTGACGAGTAAACATTATAAGAATAGCAAGGGTGGTGGTGGTGTTGACGCTGATTGTGTGGGTGGTGAAAGTTCCCCCCCTCCTCTCTTCGATAGTTTAACCAATAGACTTAGCATGATCATCACGGGATGTTTAATGATAATACAAACTCGAGTACGGTACCTGCTCTAGAGAGATACTGTACTAGCAGCATGTTTGGGGGAGTTGCTGGGCCTAACACATGCAAAGCCAGAGAGGTAAGACTACCGTACGGTATGATACTCGAGTATGGTACCGTATGATACATCATACCGGTAACATTCCGAGCGAGGTTCTGGGCACTGACAGTCGGTAACACTCGTGTTATGCTCGTGTTATCCACAGATCCGATATCTTGCCGATCTCGGTTGGCCTCCTCCGAAAACGTGTGGCCACATGAAAATTTCGAGGGTGCGGTAATAAAGAGAGACAAATCCATATTTTTCCTCTCACTGGCTCTGGGATTTCGTGGGGGGGGGCCAGATCTTTCCATCCTACGGCACCGGCTTTTCATCGGTTCCTTGCGACAAGGAGATTGAAGATTTTAACCTGAATTGCGGGAATATCTTAAAGTGGGGTCGCGTACCGTAGTGATTCCCTTATCAATTTTTCAGCTGTTCGTGGGAGTTTGCAGGAAAACTGAAGGGGAGGGGAGGGAGGGGAGAGGGGGGGAACTACCCCAGTACCTCACCGGTATTACTCGTACCTCTCAAGGTCTGCATCGCCTTCTTCCCCCTTTCACATGATGGTTGTGCGGTAAAGCTACAATAGCACAAGTACTGGTTACAAGGCGTGAGATTTGGACAAAAGACATGGTCTCTCTACTCGAGTACAGTGCTCTCGAAGAATTAACCAATTGTTGTTGTTCCTCACACCCGCGACAAAGATAAAATAGTCTTTGTAGCAATCGACTACTCAAGTTTGAGTGTTCTATGGTACCGCATTCCGCTTGATAATTTGCAATCGGTAGAAGCACAAAGTGAAGCAAACTAAATCACCAAATGAACAAAGACAAGGCTTGACGAAGTGAAGGCTTCGACTTTTCCAGTATCCAACAGCGAAATATCGGCATTTACCATCCGACTTGAAACCGCATCTAGTGGCCAAATTGGTCGCCCTTTTTTTTTGTTATCATTAATTTTTTTATTTATCATACTTACAGACTGCAGTCAAAAGTCCCGCCGTCCTGTGGGCAGATGCCGCGGAAACAATTGACAAGAAGCACATCCTCCTGGTCCCCAACACGGGAAAACCACGCACGCAAGCGGTTATGGCATGGGACAGCGGGGCTGGGGTTCGATAGGTGGTGGTGGGCGGAGAGGAAGGATTTGCTGGGGTGCACACGAGTAGTCGAGTATTGGTCGGAAGTCAAGGTGGATTGACTTAGGCTTGGGCCGTTGATGGGCAGATCTAAAGTGCCGGTAGAATGCTCGGTGCTCAGGTACCGTGGTGTGTGGTGGGTGGTGTGCACAGGTGTGTGTGGTGCCTTTATTCCCCTTTTGAGCCGCCGCCAATTGGAAGCGAGCGCCTGGAGAGTGGTGCAGCCCTAGCGGAGCAAGGAAGATTTTTCTCTTTGGTAACCGGGGTGGGGGAGCGAAAAACAGACCGTACCCCTGAACGACGGGGCGACACGAGGGGCCGTGGCATCGGTGGCCTTGGCATCTCGTACCTGACCCAATTCGGAAAGCGCTTGCACCCAAAGAGATGGACCCTCTGGGATGATGGGAACAAAGCGCGACCAAGAAATGAAAAAGGGAAAAAAAGAAAAACAACCATAATCCACGAGTCCGAGATTTCACAATATTTAATTCTTCAAATTTAGAATGGTCGTTCTTGGCGCCATGGCAGTGCTACTCGAGTACTCGTACAAGGTGCATTGGGCTGTGCGTCTACGAGTACAAGTACTGATTCTTCCGTCGTTTTGAGACACGGTGTTTTGGCCTACCAATGAGGAGTCATGAAGCCTGGAACCCAACACAAGCTGTTAAAGCAATAGGGGGAGAGGGGAGGAGGAGTGTTACTCGAATTAGACAAGCCCGCTTGTGGATGAGACGAGCAAGCTATGAGAAGGGGAATTCACTGCTGCGTTAAGGGAGCTCTCTTTTTTTACCCTCAATTGCGGCTATCATGGGACCTTTCGGGCACTCGAGTAAGGACCTCCTGTACTGCACCTTATCGATATCCCTATGCCGCAAAGAAAGAAAAGAGGCATCACAGAAACGCAAGGCAAGGGAAGAAATTAATCAATTGCAAGCACGAGTGAGAGGGTGAAGCTGAGAGGATGAGAGGCGAGCAATTTAATGAAGCAGAGTGGGTTGGTCCACGTCAAACAAAAAGGGAAGCAGGCTATTCCCTATGCCCGTCCCACCCACACTCACCCCCCCATCATCTTAATTGTATGTTCTCCCTTCCTTTTGATCCGGTTCCTGCATATCCTTCCCTCCATTCCCTCCCACCTCCCTTCGCTTCGCCCTTTTTTTGATTGGCCTATCAGACTTCCCTATTCTCCTTCACCTAATATTTGCTTTTTCCACGGATTGTCCTCCTGCATTTCTTTCTCATCCTCTGTCATCTTCCTTTCCATCTTCACGCTCTCTTTCTCTCCTCTTTGCCATCCACTCTTTCGTCTTCGTCACTCTTTTTTTTTCCTTCCCCTGCAAATTTCTCTTGCTTCTGCAGCAGCCGCTCCCTCGGGTTTTCCTAACTAATCACACTCCTTCTGTCCAACTGTAACCAGCCGTCGGACAACGAGCACAACTTCTGTACTGCCGCTTGCCGCCAATCTCTTCTTGCTTTCCACTCCTTCCCCCCCTCCCTCACTACTTGTTACGATATCCTTGTCTCGCCTTTCCGTTGGGTCCACGTCGGCCCCGTCCTTTCCTTCAGCTTCCGCTCTATATAACAGGAGTCCCCAGGCCCTCCTGCCTTGCATTGCGACCTCTCCACACTCTCTACCCACTCAGAGTTGCCATTCCTTCTGCTCTCTTCGTCTTTCGCGTTTTTTTCTTTCGTTGGTTGTATATCACTCCCTTCTTGGCTATCCGTCACCCACAGTCCTTCGTATCGATATATCGCTAGTCGATTCGCACCACAATCCCTCTTTTTTTGAGAGCTAGTTTTTTTTGCTACCAAAAGATAGTATATTGCAACAGCTTCCATCATGAAGGTTTCCAGCACCAGCATTTTGAGCCTTGTGCTCGCATTGAACGGGGTTATGGCCTCTGCTCTTCAGGCCCGTGGCTACGAGGTCGTCACTGTCACTGAACTCGCAACTGAGTATGTTCATGTCACGTCAACCGCTTGGGTTGAGCCTGCACAAGACGCGCCAACTCCGATCCCTACGACCGCTCCGGATTCACACGAGAAGAATAAGAATAACAATCATGTTACCACGGATACTCCTAGTGTTAGTATTCCCGAGATGTTGGCTTCGCTAACAGTCTCTTCCTCCATTTCCGAATTGTATGTGGAATCAAGCACATTGGCTTACTCTTTCGTTGAGACAACTCAACAGACTACTTTGTCCATTCTATCTATGTCTGAATCGTCTAGAACGACCATCTCCACCCCATCGAAGCCCCCGACCTCCACCCAACTCCCCTTTCTTCCTCAATATCTGTGCCAACATCACTCAAAAACCACCCACAACATTGCAAAAAATTTACTTTTGCCCCCTACCACCCCTGTTTCGAACTCCCGGCTGCAAAGGCGAACCGACAAATAACTGCCCCCGGTCC